GCATCCAGCCAAAGATATCCTTCTTCTCCTCCCGGGCCAGCCGGGTCAAGAATGCCATGGGCATACCATGGATGTTTCCGCTGCCGCTAGTCTCGGGGACGTTGATATCAGCGTGGGCGTCAACCCAGATGACGGCCATTTCGCGGCCCAGTCGCTCGCGGATTGCCTTTGCTGTGCCGGAGACGGTGCCGATGGCGATGGAGTGGTCACCGCCGAGAGTGAGTACGAACTTTCCGTCCTTGGCGTAGTTGTAGATCTGGGAGCTGAGCTTTTCGGTCACGGCGCTGACGGCGCGGGGCTTCTTCATGCCGCGGTGGTCGGGGTCTTCGGCGGGGATGTCCTTCTCGTAGTAGTGGACTGTGTTGTCGTGGTGGACTTCGTAGTCGAGATCCTCGCTGAGTTGGGTTAGGAGGCCTGATTCGATGAGGGCCATTGGGGCGGCTTCGACGCCCTTCTTGCACTGTGAATAGTTAGTATGATTCATTGATCTATAGCTTCAGTTCCACGGGGTGTCTTACCTGGCCACCATTGAAACCAACGGCAACAACGCCGAGTTGGTTAGGGTGTGAGAGGAATCTCGAAGTGATTGTTGAAGGCTGTGTCATTGTGTAGAATGTAGGTGACTGTAGGATGGAAGTAACAAGAAGCTGTCGAAAAGATCGAGATAAGATTAAAAAAAAAAAGTGGAGGCTCTGTGGATAAGATCAGGATGATGTCGAAGATTTATTTTGAAAAGAGAGCAAAAAAGAGGGATAAGTGTTCCTTTTAAATATCTCAGAATTATCTTAAAACATCTTTCATATTCCCCCGACTTCAACCGGGGCAGTGCCTTCATTCCTCGCGCAATGCCCGCGAAGTCGCTAAAAACTGCTTTTAGCGATCAAACCGACTCCGCCGGATCTCCATCACTTCCGTTAAGTACAGGTTGAGGAGAGCTCCCCTCTTTAGGGCCATTCGGTGTCCCACAAGATTTTGTTTTGACCTGTTACAGTGACTGATAGACCGGAAATTCTATGATTTCATTTCCGACCTTTTTATGCAGGCCCGTGGGGTGGTATCGGAGGTCCGGGAGAGAGAGTTTACATGGAAATAGAATAAGTGAAAGGCAGTATTGGTCACAAGTCATGAGGGTATCATTGATGCCATAGAATACATAGAATACATTTTATACTATACTACACAAGCTATCCCAGAATCAACTCCCGGAGAATCTCCTCTGCCTTGGGTGCCTCCACGCGGCCCTTTTCACCATTGCGCATCATTTGCCCCACGAACCAACCTAGTTTACCTAGCTGATTCTTGCTGCGGATCTGCTCGACCATATGTGGGTTCAAAGCAATGACTGACTCCGCCAGCGCTAGATACTCCTCACGCGACAACGGCCGGAGGAGGAGATTCTCCTCCTCCAGTAGTTGCGGCACTGGTCGATGGTCCCCGTCAAAGATGGTGGCCAGCACCTGTTTGGCTGTCGGGCCGGTGATGAGTTTCCGCTGCAGATGGTCGATAAGGTGGGCCAGGGATCGAGCTGGGACGATCTCCGCGTCCCATGCCTGGTCTGCCTTGGCCACCAGACCGCCCAGCTCGTGCAAAACCCAGTTGCTCGCCACCCGCGCGAGACTGGCGCGCGTTTTGTCGTCCTGGTCTACTTGAAGGGCGCGGAGGATATCCACCACATCATGGTAGTACTCGAGGCGGGCTCCGTTGTCTAGCTCGATGAGTGGTTTGGCATCCTCGATTGGCAGATTAAACTCGGATCCGACGAGCAGTGTAAGAAGAGCGTCTGGTGCTGTCGGAATAGATTCTCTGAGACTAGAGAGTAGGTCCTCTCCAATGATCAGTGGTGGAATATCAGGGTCAGGCATGTAGCGGTAGTCGACCGAGCCCTCTTTGCCACGAAGTCTGCGAGTTTCAGTGCTGCCAATCGTCCAGCCACGTGTCTCTCCTTCTATGACACCGCCACTCTCGAGCACTTCGATCTGACGGTTCTTCTCAGCAATGATGGCATCTTCTACCGCCTTGAAGCTGCTGAGGTTCTTAATTTCAGTACGCTGACCCAGCCCGCTGATCCCGTCATACTGATGATCCCCGGGTGCTTCGCCTCGGCGTCGGATCGAGACGTTGACATCTGCACGAAGACCGCCCATCTCCATTCCCGTAGTCACGGCACCACACGATTGTACAATGGCCTGTAGTTTCCGAACGCATGCTGCGGCCGTTGCAGGTGTGTGGATTTGGGGCATGGTGATGATTTCGATAAGAGGATGCGACACACGGTTGAAGTCGAGAAGTTGTGTTGAGGGCGGGTATTCCTGGGATTTGGCCGTGTCCTGCTCCAACTGGAGTTGTTTGATATCGATACGAACCCGTTCACCGTCTTCCGGGGCGATTCCATCGTAATCGAATAGGTCAACGTAGCCATTTCGTGCAAACGGTTCTAGAGAGGTAAGTATATTTCACGGGGTTAAATAGGGACAGTACTTACCATAGTATTGTGTGATTTGATACCCCGCCGGTTGATCCTGGTAGAAGTAATGTTTCCGATCAAACCGACTGACTGGCTGTATCTCGCAGTTCAGTGCAATGGCAGCGCGGAGAGCTGGTAGGAGTGTTGCGATTTGGAATGCCTGTCTCAGATCAGCCCGGGCTCTGTTTCGCAGCATCGTATACCATAACACTAACCGGTTGGCTACCCGGGAACGCCAGATCGAACAACGCAACATTGGAATTGGGAGTATCACTTGTCGATGTTGCTGCTCCTATTCAATTTATGAGAGGATGACTCGTGGTCTCCGACTTTCAAGGCGTACTGACGGGAAAATAATTTGGACTCTGTATCCAACTGCGCATGAATCTCCACGCCCACTGTGAGTTCCCATTCTTGCCTCGAAGCCTCCTCCGTTTCCTTGCGTTGTTTCTTGTGTGACCGTAGCGCTTTAGCTTCCTGCTTGAGTTGTTTGCGGAGGGGAACGCGATCTGCGGAGGCCGGCGGTTGGAGACAACGATTTGGCGCGGAGGAGAATCGGGCTTTCGGGGATGAAAGGGAGGACCGAGTCAAGCGTCGAACGCAAAGAGAGCGGACCGTACCGCTGCCAATCCATGACCGAAGCATAGAGAGATTGGACTCGGGGTATTAGAGTGTTGAACCTTGGAAGACGTGAATTTGCGGGAGAAGCTCGGGGGGACTTGGCGATTCATTGGACTTCGGTGTTTTTAAACCCACCATTTTCAACTATCATTTTTATACCGTTACAATAATTCCAAATTTACAAGAAAAAGATAAGACTATTTCAAGTGTCTCTTAAAACTATTAGAATCGCATTAGGTTGAAAAAGTCGAAGGATTAGCGCGAGGATTAGAGGCTTTATATGAACCCTTATCCACCCAAGTCTGCGCTTAAAAGTTCACTACTATACATTTCGTAGATGTCAGAGCTTATCAAAGGTCTTTAACAAAGTATGCTTTTGTTATCGCCTTCATATACACCTAAAAAGACATCTAAAACGAGCATCCAAAAAGATCCAAAAAGACATGAGAAGGCTGCATAAGCGGCCGACTATTCTTGTCCGCTATAAAAGAAGAGAGAGAAAAAGCACTAAGATCCAACGTTGTGACTATCGGAGAACGTGGAAAGACTGAAACAGGTGGTGGGCTCGAGATATTCACGGCTATACAACATAGATCAGAATCATCTGCACATAGATCTTTGATCCCCTCTCATATAGGATAACCGTGATTGATTCACTCCAGGGCTACCTTGCGTTAGTCATCAAGACGGCAGCTCTATGCTGAGATATACGTAGTGAGTCTGCTGAGCACGCTTAGACGGGAGTTTAGCTGCATGTGAGCAACCTTAGTAAAAGCCGCTTAGATAGGAAAAGCCAGATGTGAATACAATATACAATATACAATATACAATATACAATATACAATATACAATATACATTGTAACATTGTAACATTGTGATATAGAACATTTGAAAATCGTTCTAAACTCAATTATAGTATTGAAAATTATAACATATCTATATATCTATGTATCTATCTATGTATCTATGTAGTTGACTATCTCTATATTTACTAGTTGTCAATCACCCTCTTATCCTCGCAAATCTACCAGTACTTCCGACTATGAAACTTCTCCATATCAGTACATTCTTGACACTTCATGCTTTATGCACGCAATCTGGCATATAAGTGGCGTTGTAGGAGTACGGAGTACAGAGTACACTGCTCACATATCTGCATCACATTCCCCCGCTTCGCTAGACCGCCAGATGCAAGGAAGATCGACCAGCGCATAACTACATGTTCCTTTCTAACTTCAGACACATGCGTTTCGTTTCGCATCAAGCAGATGGCCTGATTTGCTGTCACACTTTGACCCACACTGAACTGTTCAGAATGTTCAGTAACTCGACAATCCACCATTTGCCTATTTCTTGATTTCTTGATTTCTTTGAATCGTGAGAAAGACGATCGACAGGGATACAAGGAACCTCCTTGCAACACCATTGTCATTGGTCGATCTAAATAAAGCCCTCGGCGCTTCTAAGTTGCTTCAGATTGTTCGGGGACTGGAGTGACGAATGACAAGACTACATTTCGACAGGCATAAAACATTTTGGGCTCATTTTCAGCAGCTGACACAAAACCTACCAACTGTGAAACTTGGGCTGACGTTTCTATAATAATACCGTATTCCCTTTTTATTGGGAATGTCTGATGGAATTCGCGGGGAAAATTGGAGATATCATACAATCTTCCCCTAGATTCCGCACCTTTTGACACTCGACTCGATCTGAGACCTGGAATTCCACTCTCCCCCTAGGCCATGCCTCGGGTCCCTATACTCCTAATTCCATTGCGATTTCATCACTGCAATTCATTCCATGTACTTTATTTCTCATTTTCTTTCCTTTCCCTGCGGGCATGCCCTGATTTGATATCTATATTTTGAAGAGGTATGAATCGGGTGTTGATTCCGAATTGCTCCGATCATCATGCCGCTCCAAACTAGAAAGCCAAAAAAGGATGGAAGAAAGAGAACATACTCGTTGGTGTCGAACACTACAAACACACAGGCTGGTCCTGTCACAAGTCCTAAAACTGTCGCGAAAAGTTCGCCTTCACAACAACCCAACGGATCGAGAGAAGCCCTAAATGCGCCTGCCGTTCCAGAGAACCAACCACAGAAACCCGCAGAGCCGGCGAAGAAGTTGCCTAATGTGTTTGAGTTCCTAGAAGAGAACGAGGAATCGTCTTCAGACTCATCATCGGCATCCTCGTCGGAGTCGGAGTCTGAATCCGAATCCGACGAGGAGCTGGACCCTATACAAACCACCAAGATCCAGTCTCCCAAGCCACGGGCAAATACTGTGCCGCACGGCGTGTTGGTCGCAGGCGGCAACATACCTCCGAAGAAAGTTGCCCAATCAGCTCCAGTGGTATCCAAAAGTCCAAAAGAACCACTCAAGCCCGCACCGCGGCCCGCGCCTTCCACAGACAACCAGCTAGTCACCCGGAAGAGACAACCCACCAGAAAGCCGAGCCCGATCTCGACTGCAAACATCTCACCAGGAAAAGGCCAACTGGAATTGTCCCGACCATCGACCTACCATGACTCATCAAGAGATAGCGGTGCTGTCCACAGACCACCGCTGCCACCATCTCCCCCAAGAAGCCCAGAAGATAGTCTTCACCGTACACCGACAAAGAGACGAGACCCCCATGCATTGCAAGAGCCATCAGGATACGGTCTTCTAGCTTCGCACCTAACCAAGTCCACCTCAGAAGAGAGCGGGAGCTTTCCTCCGCTATACCGACGCTTCGAGACCGTTAACCACCGCGTTCTTCTCCACCTCCAAGACGAGATTTCCCAAATGGAAGAAGATCTCCACCTGCTAGATGAATATGAAGAAATGCATCGAGTCGACATCGCCGAGCAGGAAGGCACAAAGCCATTACCTGCGTCACGTCGGCGAGACGCCCAGTCACAGGCGTACTCATCTTTACATTACCGTCGAATGGATCTGATGAGTGTTTTGATCCAAAAGACCGAACAATACAGTAAGTTTCTTTCCTTCCATTTTCGATATTGCCATTCCATAAAGCAGGCCCGCTGACCAGTATGCAGACAACGCCCTCAGCGCCTATAGCAAAGTCCTACAGACCCTCCCGCGAGCCTCGGAACAGGACATCACGGGGTATCGCACCTGGATGAGAGAGAACAAACCCGTCGCTGGTGTCGAGACACGGTTCCTAATTCACGACGCGGATCTAGTCGCCCTCACCCCGCGACTGGCTGCGTCTGCCGCCGCCGCACCCGTCTACGTCGCCATTATTATAGCGTCTGGCGCGCTCCTGCTACCATTGTTGGCATTCAGCCTTATTGCGGAATTCTCCGGCCGTCTTGTCGTCGTGACGGTTGTTGGTGGCGCCGCGGCGGCTATTGCGGCGAATTACTCGGCTGGTATTGATACGCTGGTCGACTCGAGGGATGGTTGGCGCTGTGCTACGATGTATGATTGCTTCCGATTCTGTTGTGACTGCATTTGTGACTGACTTTTCTTGATAGATACTTCGGTTTCATGACTACTGCTGCTATGTTCATTCCATAGCTTCGACCGTCTGTCTCGGCTTGGATTGGATCCTGCCTGCATCAACTTATGACTTATGAATCTTCTTTTTTTTCTATTTCCTTGCGACCCGCCCTCTATTTCACAGTGATATTCTTTTGGTCTGTTTGTGAAGGGAAGGTTGGGAGGGTACCCACCACTAAGCGCGCAAGAAAGAGATGGCGTCCATTTTTCGGCTTTAATAATTGGATATGGCAGATAGACGAGTACCTCGGTCCTGGCATGTAATGGAATATGAGCATTGGGCAGGAGATACAGTGGCCTGGGAGATATAGCAGGATGGGTGTTTGTGTTTTATATTGGGGATCCTATTGAACAATGTACTATGTATGAGATATGATTCTAGGCACACTCTGCAAGCTCTTTTTTTCAATATCCCCCTTTACAGTCGAATCGCTACATCGGAAATCACGAAGTGTACTGGTATGCAGTATATTGATTGAATTGGATCGGAAGCGAAATAAACAAGTAACTCTCTAAGCAAGACTTAGCTGTATCGCAATGGTAGCCTGTACACCCAGGCCAACCTGTCTTGAAGTAAAACCATCCACGCCAATCGCTTAGTCCATAATACAACACCAAATAAAGAGAAATCATACAAAGCCAGGGATCAAGAGGTTCATTAACAACACAGTTGGGGGAAAAAAAATTCGGAGACGCGGATCACATCCAGAGCTCATCATTCGAAACGCAAACAGTAAGAGGGAAAAAGGCAAAAAGTCAATAAAGCAGAAAGCCCACTGCAGAGGAATGTAATTTTGGAGTTTTGCCTCTCTTCAGAAAGAAATCACATTTTTGAATATTTCGAACGCAAGCCCACATGCTCAAATTCGCGCAAGTATCAGGTTCTAGGTCGAAAGGGGTGTGCCATTTGGTTTGCTCCCTGGTGTGATGCTGCCTTCTTGGGAAGCACGGGCATCTAGCCCTTGGGGTTGAGGTGTTGAAGGACTGTGACCTGTCTGTCGAGCTGCCAGTTGTGCCTTGTTCCTGTCCATCAGCGCAGCTTGTTCGGCCGCACTACGAGAGTATGTAGCACTGGCGGCGGAGTTTGAGTAGCCAGCTTGTGAGGGAGTTTGGCCAGGGTACTGAGCTCGCTGGTTCGACGTTGCAGTTGCGTAGGGTGTACGTCCCTGTGGCGTGGCGTTGAATGTCCCCGGCTGCCTGGGCTGTGGTGTGTATGGTTGTGGAGACACTTGGGCAAATCCATTTGAAGTAGGGCGCTGGTATTGGGGAGCCTGGCTGCCTTGACTGTACTGCGGGTTCATTTGCGTGTATTGAGGAGTGCTGCCTGGACGTTGACTGGGTGTGCTTGGTGGACGACCCGCGCCATAAGCATGCGTGTATGTCGTTGGCGCCGAGGGCTGCCGTGCGTGCTGCGGCGTGACCTGGAACCCGGGCTGAGCCGGAACTCGAGCATTGGAAGCAAAAGCACGTTGGTTGTAGGCACTGTGAGAGCCTTGGTAATTACTAGGCCGTGAAGTAGAGGGTGTTGAAGTTCGATTTGCGGCAGTGGCTGCTGCGAGCAATGCTGCAGCCCTTTCTTGTGACAAAGTGAAGTCATCCTTTTCCATGGTGCCGCTGTAGTCAGGGGTTTCAACCAGAACCTTTTGGCTGATATTCAACTCAGCGAGCTGATTGCCGTCTAATTTAGCGACGGCATAAGGTGGCAAGTTGCTGACGATTGCTGCAAGGCTTGACTTAAGGGTATCGTACACAAGGGTCTCTGCTTCAGAGGGCGTGTTCACGTCGCCCAAATCAAGGCCAGGGGTTTCATTCGACTCAGGCACTTGTTGACTAGGCAGCTGCAGATCAGAGGGAAGTTTGAAACTTCGAAGTCGTTGGTAGGAACTAAGAGTGTCGAGTAAGTCGGAAACTTCCTCAAGCATTTGCTTGATCTCTTTTGATTCTAATTCGACTTCACTAGTCGGATCGGTTTCCGTGATGTCAATAGCAAAGTCCTGGGCGTTGAATGACTCAACCATTTCATCTAGAATGCTCTCATCAAGTTCGCCAATATTGCCCGGCTGAGCGGTTTGGGTGTCATTTTGTTCGATGTCTTCTTCCCATGGGACCGACAGCAATTTGCTCACGCGGTCCGCACCCCGTTGACCCCACCAAACCATATCCTTCGAAGCGAGCTGTACAATCGCGCCAGAGCTATCGTAAGAAGGAGCAAATGACGAGAAGACCCCCTGGAAAGCAGACGAATCGGGGCCAGTCCAAAGGGCAGGATCGCCATGTCGATGAACATTATCCGAATCGGTATGCTTTTCTACACGATCCCAGTAGGAAGGCGATGAGGTGACTCCACCATATTGAAGCCACTGGGTTGAAGGGAGGGGTGCTAGGCAATAGTTGCTGCGCTCTCCCAAAAATGTTCTGACATCGAAAGTGGCATCGAAGCGATCCGTCCATGTGGTCGAATTAGCCCGGTGAGATCGTTTACGCGGAGGTTCCAGCTTTGGTAATGTTTCGCGTGGAGCAAACACCTCCCCAAATGTTCGCTTTGGTTGAGATGCCGCATCAAGGTTGTAAGGGATGACTTTGGTGGCGGTGATGCCGTTAGGCAGAGCGAGCTCGCGCAGCTCCTCCTGCACTTCGACAAACTTTTCAGGTCCTGATTCAGACTGCAACGGCACCTTCACCGATTTTTGGAGGCTTGAGAATAGCTGCTTGGGATTCGCTGGGTTTCCGAACAGTGTTAGGGCGGGCTTATCCTCTCGCTGGCAGACATTTATCGCGTGAAGCTCTGTTGATTCGTCGGCGTCGTCCTCCATTGTCTCTGTTTTGACCTCGGGTTGGTTGACGAAGGATTGGCCAATCAAGCTGTTCATATGTTTTTTGAATGCTGCGATCCGGTTGACCACCTCATTCAAAGGTGCCCCATCTTCCTTTACACCATTGGCCTGAGTCTGATTGCGTTCAATTACAGCAGCTGATGCTCTTTCGATGTCAGAAAGAAACTCTTGCAATGTGTTGTATTTGCCCGAATTGACGCCTGTTTGGATGTTGGAGGTTTCCGAATCGCCAGAAATCTTTGCGCGCTTCGTTCGAGGCTTGGTGGTTGAAGCTGGGAAGGGGCAAGAGAGGAGTTGGAGTTCGGTGTCATGCCTGTGACTTTGTTAGCATAAAACTAAGAACCATATACTTTTATCAAAGCTTACTTCAGTAGAAGCTCTATCAGGCTGCGTAGAGTTTCATGAAGATTTGCTCGATCGCGCGAGGTAGTGGCACTTGAATCAGTGCTCGGTTTGTCGTCCTGAGTGGAGCGCTTCCGTTTCCCATAGGTTGCATTAGTAGCAGGGTCAGGATTCGGTTCGCCATTTGTGGCGGATACCGGGGTTGTGTCTCCAGCTTCGTCGGCGCTCATGGTTGCGAAGTCGCGCCGAGATCAAGATTCACGATACTTGCTTTGACGCGGTCCCCTCCAATGCAAATGGATGGGGTCCACAAATCAGAAGGTTGAAAGTAAAGATTGGAAGGATGCGATCGTGGAAATAAATATTTGCTGGCGATTTGGTGTTGAGGTTGATACTTGGTTCGGAAAGCAACCGGAGTCCAAGTAACCTCGATGGGTAGGGCGTCAAAGCGAATCCTTAGAGAAGATGGGGATCGCGAAGAGCGAAGGGAGAGGAAGATAAAACCCTCACGTCACCACAATAAAAGAGGGGAATATGAGGTGGAAATAATTATCAATAGAGACCAAGGTATTAGGACAATGATCAATGCAATAGGCAACCCTCGAACAAATAGGTCAAGTGTTCTCTTTTTTCTGTTTTGTTGGAGAGAACGTTCACTGGGTTGCGCTTTTCGGAATGGCGCGCCTTCTGACGATCCATCACGTGACTCCATTTTCTGCCGCGCGATTGCTGTATTTTTCCGATTCTTGACTTGACTTCTCTCATCTTCGGAGACAAATAACTCTTTGAGCCTATTGAATGGGTCTGTGGCGTCCAGGCACTTTCACCCATGACTACGTTCATGGATGTCATCAGTTTTCAAGCATGCCCGAAGCCTTTCGGGAGTATCGCGGCTAAGAGCAGACCTGCTCAATAGTCAATTATACAAGGTAATTTTTTTTTAATTTGACTCTGCCTGTCATTGGATATTGTGCTAAATGCTCATGATCTGTCCTAGGCAATATCTCGTCATAACACCAAGTTTCCCGTTCATTATTCGCGCAATTCCTTGGTTGGCCTAAGCCCAGACAGTTTCCGCTCGTTTCAGTCCACTGCGTTCCTCAATGTGCCCGAGTCACTTGCAATCGACACTCAACCCTCACACCTCGGTAATCATTCCAACAAAAAGCGGCCAGATTCCTCAATCGACGAACAATGCACAACGGTGCCCCAAGACTCGGTGGATAGCTCGCTCGGAGAGAAAAGGCTTGAAAAGACCCCCAGCATCAGAGTGAAACCGAAGCCCGCCGAATATCTCTCCAAAGCTTTGCGAAACACTGGCCACGTCCTCGGATATGATATTCAATCAGCCGGGCTTGTCCGGGCTCGCTCTAAATATGCACTCCAAAGACAGAACGAGCTGAGGACAGTTGGCCGCCCAAAAAAGCCGTCACTGCCGGTTATTCTTGGGGAGTATCTACGAGAGGTGGATCCGCTGCTTTCATCTGCGTCGGATAAGCGTGCAGAGAAGGATCTGGATATTGCTCTCCAGAAAGTATTCAGAAACACAAGTCATGACTACTTATCATCGCGTGGCTACGATGCCGCCGATGTGGCTGCTTGGGCCTGGATCATGAAGAGCCAGAATTCCCACGAGGCAATGGTACGGCTGTTCTTGTTCGAAACTGACAGAGCCAAGTCTGGCGCCACTAGTCCGAGGATTCCACCTTTTATCCCGCTCCATCTTTTGAGACAGCAAAACCTCGATGCTCACGCTTTCCGTTTGCTCTTAATTCACTCTTTGCATCTTATGAGCGGACATACCTTCCCCATCGCTGAAACTCCTGCTGGTGTTACCGAAAATAATCCCGAGTTATCACCCGAGGACTTCCGGCCTCAAATCGATTCTGGTACCTGCATGATTTTGGTAGTTCGTTTAATCCGTCATGCTCGGCGCGTGTGGCCGCCATCACTTCTTACTATTGCACGTGCATTTGCTCGCTTCCTCTCAGCTCACAGGTTGGATGATGCCGAGAGGTCAGTTTTGGTGACTCGACATGATGATCGCTCCAAAACCGTCAAGTTTAATGAATGTCTCTGGTTACTTTCCTTACCGGCCAACATTGCTCCTTACCGCTCCACATCTATCCAACAGCAAGCGCAGTTTGAGCTTCTTCGAGCCATGGCAACCCATAAGCCCGTCCTTCCCGTCACAAGACAAGGATATCGAGCGGTCGTTGCAGTCCAACTGGCCCATAAGAAAACATCCGAAGAGCGCCAGTCTGCTGAACTAAAAGCTCCATCGTGGCCTCCATGGAAGGAAGAGAAACTAGGAATTGATTCCCAGCGTGGGAATGAAGGAATGTTCAGTCGTGCGATGCAGGTACTTTCACAAATGAAGGATGCTGGTTATTCTCATCGTCTTTGGGAGGACATATCCTCGATTTTGGCAGGTTGGGATACAGATCACAGCCCGACGGTGCAGACGAGGGCTATGATGCGTCGCCCACAAGCTTTACCGGACAGACATGGCTCCAAGTCGAATCATCATGAAATGTGGGTTGCTCGCATTCGCTCTACGAGGACTGTCCGTGAAGCCTGGGCGTGCTTTCTCTCCTATCAGGACCGTGGTCTGCCCCCGAAGGGTGCCATCTACGCTGCCATGGCTGAGAAGTTAATCTACCGACGAAATGCCATCGAACGCGAGTTTGACCAACTGAGTCATGTTCTGCCAGGAGATGGCCTCGAAGTCCACCCTGAACCAGCTTCTGCTCGTGACATTATCTACGTGCCCACAGAACCACCTACCGTGGATGAGTTCCTTGATCATATGCGCGGACGGGGGCTTCGGCCTTCTGGGAGATTCCTCGGCCTATTACTTCAGTCGGCTACTTCTCTGCGTTCGGGCTTGCATTACCTCCAATGCGGTGACGTGACAGATGCTCAAATCGAGACGCTCTCTATTGTTCGGGGCAAGCCTCGCACATACGATACCTTGGACATTAAAGCTTTTCATGACTTGCCGGACTTGGTATTTGCATCGTTCATCAAGTTTCTGTGCACACATTCAGATATCGCTAGCCTGGATGTCGGTAATCGAAATATTCTCACAGCCGACCGTTTCCCGGCATTGATAGCCGCTGACAGCTCGACCGGTGCGAAAGTGGACCTTGTCGCATATTCCGAGGAACATCCAGGTAATCAGCACTACCCAAGGGCTTTATGGCACGCCATCCAATTGACCAAATTGCGACGTACTCCCTACACCCCGGCCTGGACCCATATTTTATCTGCTCTGACCCGGGAGCGCCTTACCGGGTATTATGGCCCAAGAAGCCGAAGTCTTCAGCGCATATTGGCATGGCACCAGGCTCTCAGAGCATTAAGCTGGATGCGACAGCGTGATGTTGAACTTGGTGAGGAAGGATTCCGCATTTTATGTGTGGCGTTTACAAAAGCCATTGATGCTGCCCTGAAACACCCTGGCACTGCCGAACAAAGCTTTGTACTGATTCATAAAGCTCGTATTCGTCGTCTCAAAGCCACAAACGAAGGCGATGACGAGGTTGACGCTTTGATGCAGCACGCGCTGCAGGTTTTGAAGCATCAGTTTGATCATCTTGTTCTCCCAGCCTCCAAAACCTCGGAGCATGCGGAGCGAAGTGTCTTTGCGGGAGAAACAGCCTCCGAAACACCACTCAATATTCCCTCAATGCTACAAATCCCATCACCTGCCACGCTACATGCCTTTGTTCGGGCTCTGGGGTCTGTAGGGGATGACGAAGGGTTGTTACATCTGCTGCACTGGATGAGTCGGTCAGCTGATCTATTGAAAGAAGCTGCAGACGAACATGCAAACGGAGACAAAATGATGCGTCGAACACTTGTGGCGATCAGGGTGTTTTTGGAAAGACGACAGCAACGGATTGACACGCGGGTACCATCGGACCTAATCGTGGAAGCATACGACCTTATCAGCCGGACAGGCTGGGACTGGCCGAGTGATGCGGAGGTTACAGAATATTGTCAGTGACTGTGTATATAATATTGTAGTTTTAGAGGACTTTTGTCAATGTATATGATACCCCATGTATATCCTATTCATCAAGCGCTGTAGCTTTTCGGTAATCGTCGGCCTCAGAGCTTTCCCCACACCCGAGCTCCGAGAACGACTTCCACCCGAGAACTTTTCAGCGCAGTAGTCTATCTTTCTTCATTTTAATATCGCGGTCGAGTGTAATCCTACTCGATCTTTGAATTGCCACCTGCACAATGGCAACCATCATGTCAACGCGCCTCATCCGCCTCTCCGCACCCCTCGCCCACCTCCGGGCGACCGCGGTACCTACCCGGGTTTTCATCTCTCGCTACAGCACTAGCACAGAAGAAGACATCATCAAAACCCAACAAATCCCCGCCCCTGGTTCAGGGCATGTGCGCGTGCTACAGTTGAACCGGCCCAAAGCTCGCAACGCGATCTCGACCCACTTACTTGACGCGCTCGCGAAGCATGTGGACGCTATCTCCGCCGAAGGAGGCAACGGACCAACCCGGGCATTGGTTGTAGCGAGTAACGCAGATGCAGCCTTCTGCGCGGGCGCAGACCTGAAAGAACGCGCCAACATGAGCATGGCCGAGTGAGGAACAATCCTGTGCCCTGGTGCCCGGTGCCCCAGGCCTAAAGCTAGAATCTACGCGAATATATGCAGCTAACCACTCAACACGACTATCCAGAACCGAAGACTTCCTCCTCAAACTCCGCGCCACCTTCCAAAAACTCGCTTCTCTCCAAATCCCCACCATCTCCGCCGTCTCGTCCGTAGCCCTCGGCGGCGGTCTCGAGCTCGCCCTATGCACGCACTTTCGCGTCTTCGCGTCCTCCAGCGTTGTCGCTCTTCCCGAAACACGTCTTGCCATCATCCCCGGCGCCGGCGGCACGTACCGACTGCCTCCGATTATTGGTGTCAGCCGCGCCCGGGACATGATACTCACCGGCCGCCGAGTGACTGGACCCGAGTCTTACTTCATTGGGCTCTGTAATCGTCTTGTGGAGGTGCTGCCCGAGGAGGAGGCACAGGAGGGCGTTGCCCGCGAACGTGTCCTGCGGGAGAGTATCAAACTCGCTCTGGATATCTGTGAAGGTGGCCCTATTGCTATCAAGATGGCGATGCAGGCTGTCGATGCTCATGCCCTGGGTGAGCGTGCGGAGAATGCAGCTTATGAGGGAGTCGTCGAGACTGATGATCGGTATGAGGCGCTGCGCGCCTTTGTTGAGAAGCGGAAGCCGGCGTTCCGTGGAAGGTAATGTTCTGTGATAGGATGAGTGCTGTGTGATATGTGATATGTGTAGAACAAGGTGATCCACCCAGGTAACCTATAGTATCAAAATGATATGCCCTATAATTCTATGGACTTTTATGTGCAGTTTATTCTTATTGGTAGCTCAGATGAAGAAAGACTGATTTAAATAGACTGGGTAGACTACTGAAGGGGGAGTATTAGGTACAAGTACCAAGGCATCATGTGGACATGGTTCTGATCATGGGGGCAACCTTCCAGGTTGGAACCCAATGTTAATAAGCATATTTCCGCATATAAGACAATGGCTCAGTGATATACATATGTTGCATATATAGATCTATTTCCATTGGATCCCGAGGGTCTGGTCTATTTTGTTTCTGTGGTTGTGCTTTTAAGCTTCTGCCTGATCTATAGCCTGGTCTTGTCTATAGTTCTGACTCCGGTCCTCAATAGGCTACAATATAGACCACATAAATGAGATGACAAGCATATACATCAGCCGCATCGTTTAAAAATGGCCTGGGGCCAAAATTACATAAGAGTATTTCATTTCCCGTGGTTGATCTTCAACGTGACTCACTGGTACCTATATGGGAATACTCCGAGGTAGTATACCCCGAACAAGGCATACTCATCAATGGTGCAATGATGCAATATCGTACATATTCTATATATGTATGCCTATGAATAACGGCAACTCGAGGTCTGAGTGGCACGGTACCTGGCAGGTTACCCGAACTGACAGGGCAGTGCAAGGAACCCCGGGTTAAAGCACCAATGGCCAAAACCCAAGACGGAAAAAAAAATGATAGAGAAGAATAATATGCGGCCCGTCACCCGGGATTTACAACCGATGCAGAAACTCCATGGATCGACCAAAATAGTGCGGGTGACCTGGGTCAGGGGTGCACACTGCCCCAAGTTACCCCAGTCACTCTCACCTCAGTCACCTGCATCATATTTATAAAAGCCAACCGGACTGGTTCTTGAATTCTTCTTCTCCCAACTCCATATATTATGGCAATAGCATCCTGACCCTGTTATTGTCCCATTCGTTGCCATGTCCAAGCCCCGTATCGCCGACCCAAAGGCCATCAAGGCCTTTGGCTTGACGCAGATCTATACCCCGCGCGACGATCCAACAATCGATATTGTCTTTGTTCACGGCCTGAACGGCCATCCTCACGACTCTTGGACTAGCAAAACTACTGATTGCTTTTGGCCTACCGACCTTCTCCCGGACGTCCTTGCCTCGCTCCGTCCCCGCATTCTTACTTACGGCTACAATGCGAATGTCACTGCCTTCACCGATGGAGCTTCGCGTGATTCGGTCGTCAGCCATGCTGAGACCCTTGCATCTAATCTCGCTGCTAATCGAAATGTAGGTCGATATTCTCGATTTTTGTTTGATTGCTCTTGCCTTTGCCATCTTCCTCTGGTATCAAGCTTCAAGAACTGACCTAAATTTCTCATATAGCTGCGAGACTGCTCCGAACGTCCGATTATTTTCATCTGCCACTCGCTAGGAGGCCTGATTGTGAAGCGCGCCCTGATATACTCTCGTAGTCTCTCAAGTGAGAAGACCGAGCATCTCCGCTCAGTCTATGTTTCCACCTTCGGTATCCTCTTCCTAGGCACACCTCACAATGGATCTGACATTGCAAAATGGGGTCTGTTGTTGCACAACATCTGCAATGCTGTGCTCCCCAAGAAGTTCATGGAGGCGTCTCCGCAGCTTGTCAAAGCTCTGCGGACCAACAATGAAACCCTGCAGCACATCAACAGTCTCTTCGTTGATATCATGGGCCGATTCCACATCTACTTTTTCCATGAAACACGGTCCACCGACGTGCGTGGTACCCGTGAAGTGATCGTAGACGAGCACTCAGCCGCGCCGTACATGGAGGGTGTTGAGCGGGCGGGTATCGAGGCCGACCACAGCCATATGTGCAAGTTTGACGATGACAATGCAGCGGGCTATGAGGTTGTGGCGGAGGCAATTCTCCGGTACTCACGTCAGGCTCCTTCCGTGATTACGGAGCGCTGGGCGGAAGAGAAGAAAGCCCGCACCCAGGAGAAGAAGGCCAAGGCTAGGGAAATCTATGACGGTGAGTCTTTCGAAAATCTGGTACCTTTTTGATATGTGTTCCTTCGGATGCTGACTATTGCAGCAAGAATAGATGACCCGGCAAATCGAAGCATGCCTGATTTGAACAGAACCGGTAGGGATTCATATCTTCTCCCTGCACCGGAAGTGGCTGTCACGTTGAGGGACTATGAGATTGAGGAGCCTCCTGTCTGAAGCTTTCCGGCGAGCCACGTTTGCTTTTGCTCTTTGGTTTTATTTTGCTCATGTTATTCCAATGCCTGTCTATGATTTCCCTGGCCACTCGCTATCGAGCCAGGGAGCCAAATACTTTTGCAAATCCACTCTATTATTTTTTTTTTTTTTTTTTTTTCATACAGTGCACAGTGTGTTCTTCATTTTTGTACTGAGATTATTGGTCTTGTCCCCAGGGTGGCTCCCATCTCAAGTCCTCAAACTAGCTGACCTACACTCTTCTCAATATGAGAATTATCACTTTTTTTTTTAGAGTCACGCTGGCTGACTTCATCATAGGCGAATCCATATTATCTCTACCGCGTGCCCCTGCGACAGAAGGCCGAAATTCCCCAGTATCTGATTTGGGAAACAGTGAGCTTCTTCAACTCTCCCACTACTCCACCAAAGATGCGCCCCTATTCGTGGCACCTCCGGGCTTTCATCCCAACGCTACCTTTTTTGGAATGGAGAAAGAACTTGAAGTGTTGCACAGCCGGTTGTTCAAAGCCAAGGCACGCCCAGAAAAGACAATGGCCGTCCTGATATCCGGCGTTCCAGGCGCCGGCAAGACATATCTAGCGCGGCAGTACGTGTTCACTCAGCGTGACTGCTACCCAGGCGGAATATTCTGGATTGACGCCAAGTCCCGCGAATCAACGTACAAGTGTTTTTGGGAGATTGCACAAGCAGCTACGCTGATTGAACAGAAGGTGACCGTGAACACTGGGTATCATGAGACTGGAAAGTATGTGAATGCAGTCCGCCTCTGGCTTCAGACACGCAAAGATTGGCTCCTCGTCTTCGATGGTGTTACCTTCGACCGTGACGACGATATCAATAAGTTCAGGGAGGTCTTGCCATGGAGCAAACAGTGCAGTATTATATACACCTCGGTCGACACAACCCTGCGCAAAAAACAGCGACTGTACGAGCCATATTGTCTGATGATCTCGCGGTTGCAAGTGGAAGACGCTTGCAAGCTTTTGTTTAAGGATCTTGGGATTACGCGAGCGACACCCGAGCAAATCTCTAAGGCTACCCGGATAGTCGAGCACTACGAATGTCTGCCTTTGGCAATCCATGCGATCGGGCACCGTCTCAACGCAACAGGTAAACCGATTGAAAAGTATCATGTCAAATCTCAGGTGACGGACAAGAAGCTTGCAGAGCCTTTCTTGATCATTATGAACGATTTGTTTCGGTTGCAGCAAAAGCAGGCGTTGCACTTGATTAATCTTCTCTCGTTTCTTGGCCACCAGGTGCCAGTGGGCCTTCTGAACCTCGGTCGAGCGGCTATGACCGCTGAGAATTTGGAGATACAGACCAGCGGCCAAATCGGAGAAGATCCTGATCTCGATACCACACTTGGAACCCTCATTCACTACGGGTTAGTTGAACGGATTTCAGATGCCGATCTCTTTCAGCAGAGGTCGTCCGTGCCTAATTTTGAGGGCGATCATATGAGCTCGGATGTGAGGACCGTTCCCGAACTCTCAGATTCCCTGACAGAGAGTAGCCAGGAAGGATTTTTTTCCATTTACCGTCATGAATCGGTAGTTGATGTAGTCAAGATTCACAGTGTGGTGCAAGGGTTCTGTCGCGATGAGCTCCGAATCAAAGACGAGGAGAACAAAGGCATCATGAACAATAATGACCCTGGTTTCTTCGATACTTGGTTGATTGTTGCCACCCGATTTCTCATCACGTCGTACGACGCCGCTATGGGACGGATGGCTCATTATGAAGACTGTGGTCTTGTCCGGGACTATCGAGAGTACGAAACTCACGCTTCACGACTGCTTGAGCTCTTTCCAAAGAAGACAGCAATTAATTTCCATCCACTAATCGTTCGTGAAACGCGAGAGAATTTGCGACGGTTGATGAGGATGATCAGCGAAGAAATAGAGAACATGTCTCCAAGCTCCTCACACCACTCTCTACGGAATCAGAAGTCGGTTTTCGACAGGTCAAGCAGCTCGTCCTCCTCCTTCCGCGATTCGTCAGCCGACGAAGGTCCATCGCGCCGGTCTACCTTCAACTGGAGTGATCTCGGGTCACCTCGAGCGGAGTCTCCCGAGGAGATAGCTATGCCACCTCCCCAGTTCAGATTAGAGCTTTTCCCACCACATATCTTCAGACAATCTGGGTATGAATCCGAAGAGGGATATGAAACGGACGGGGAAGCCAAGGAGGCAATTCGAATTTCTCCTTCGATGTCGCAAATGAGCCAAGCTACAGAGAAACCAAACAATACACCACCCTCATCGAGTCCTCCACTAACCACTGGCCTATGGGAATGGCAAGTGGTCAATCGACGCTCAAAGCCAGGGCAAATCAATGAGAATCAAACAAAGAGGCGAAACAAAGGGCCCCGTCGCTTTAGAGATACAAAATCCGACACCCCACTGGTCAAACTGTCCTCCATCCAAGGCAAGGGATCATCAAGCCGCACAGCCGCTGGCGTAACCGGGAGCTCTTTGATGATGGCTTCAGCTGCTGAAAAAGCACTCGCTGCAGTGCGTCGGTCTAGCAATTCTCAAGCGTCCGCTGGCGCCCCTCAGCCTACAATCACCTCTCTACCAGCAAACCAAGAGAACATTCCTACCTATGCGAATGTGGTCACCCGACGAAGGTTAGAGGCAGACTCTACAGCGAAACTCCCATTGTCTGTTCCCGTTTTTCCGGCCTTGGATCCAGCTAGCGGTTTGCATTTGAATGGCGGCTTGCAGATGAAACCGTCCACCGAGTCGCTCGATAGTCAAACGGCCTACGCCTTCACGTCTCCGTTATACCATGAGGTCACTGACGAATTAATGATTGAGCCTCTAAGTCAGTCAACCTACAGCGAGCCTGAGTTTAATATGCCCAATCATCACGGATCAGGTTTACATACCGCGCCTGGATCCCGGGTTCCCTCTCGGCGTGGTTCAGTACCACATCTGGAGGTCCCACAAAGTCTATCTGCAAGCGTGCCATCCCTCCTTCCATACCCACCACCTCTTCCATACGATGAGAACATCTCTGTTACTCTTCCAAGCCACAGAAGATCCTCTCAATTAGCACAAGGCTCAATACCTACCTCGGGCGCTCCTAGACCTTCTTCCATCGCTCATCCATCCGCAATCATGCCCAGCGCATTGTCACTATCTAATGCCAAACAACACGTGGGTTCAGCCCCAGAGCGCTCTATCCCCGAGCCGATGTCGCGTGACTCTTCGGCTTACTCTCATCAATCATGGGCCACCGAGCCCGTACGATACCCCCCGCGATTCTCGCCAATTCCAAGTTTCCAACAGGCTCCCGAGATGATCCCAAGTCCACCATCGAGCATGCAGCATCAACAACAAATGCTCTCCGGGACCGCTGGCTGGACAACCGAATCGCCCCTGGCGGGCAGTGCTTTTCAGTCAGATCCCACCTACCCCAGCCCACCCGTGTCATCGCATGGACCGCTTGGCTCCATGGATGAGCGAATGAAATATTCCAACCCGGGCTGGAACCCCGAGATCGATCCAGTGCAGTATTTGCATTTTGGGGGACACCGCGTCGATGTGCGAGACGCACGACTCCGACTGCATGGATCGACCCGAGTGCTGCCCCCGCGTCCCCAGCAGTATCAGCTATATCATCCCAATTTGTCGGGTCCTTTGATTCAGCATGAGGGTCAGGTCTATGCACCTGCGCCTGCGCCGCGACTGGAGGTATATGGGACTCGTGCGCGGAGTGGAAGTTCCCCTGTGCGCCCTAATTATGCTGGTTTGGGGGTGCGGTACCAGTGATGGGAATATATTTCAACTTTAGTATTGGTGTTTTGACGTTCGTTATTGTTATTGGTCTCTTTTTCTTTTGCATTTGCATACATGGTTATTATACTGGTGCATTCCTTGTCTTTTATACTTGCTCATCTTGCATCTGGTTTGTTTGATTTTGCATCAGGGTTTCTTTCATTTTGAGACTTGGGTGATACCTAACAGCATGGTGTGAATCGGAGTTTCGAGTTGGCAAAAACTATAGCATCTAGAGGAGCTTCAACAGAAAGGTTGATGTACTATCAACGCTTCACTCAAAATCCCAATCAGGATTATATTTTAAAGATATCAGGGATCTATTTGATTGTACGGTCCTAACCCTATAGTCTTTCAGGATACCGAGTAAGTTACAAACAAGTAGATGCTATAACACTTTCGTCTGCTGTGGTATAATCGTCTGTAGAATGGAGGGGAAATTTGTCAATCAATCAATCAATCAATCAAAGTTCAATTAACCTATTGCAGTCTAACTAGTTGCGTATGACTATGCAGGCGCTTCATCCAACCGAAGCAAGAACTCGAAGCCAAACGCCGAGCTGGGATCTCTCCTATAGAGTATACAAATGCCAATTCGCGAGTACGGAATCAGCCCATTCCTATAACCTATAAATCCAAACCTATCCGAACCTATACATAAGAAATAACATATAATGACTATATGGAGTGTACCCTCCACCTTCTATCTCTCAATTCTCTCACTTCTCTCTTACTTCTCTCTCTGTAAACCCCCTCCTGCCTTAGTTTCACTTGATGGTGACGTTGCCTTGGCTAGTTGATTGGTATGTTAGTCGACTCTAGCTAAGTTTCTCGTTGTATAGTATCATCTATCGTTATTGGCTAATACCTATTGTCTTCTATACCTAGATCTATTGCCGCGAGGCCTATCGGTTCGTTATCGTCGTTGTCCTCCTCGATCCTAATATATTGAAACTACTAGAGGAGACCTATTCGGTGTATAAAGTTGACTATGTAGCGGATAGCCTACGGGTTAGATATAATCTTATTATAGTCTATATCTGTGAATCTAATCCTAATTCTATCTAGTTACTCCTATAATTTCGTACGCGGAATAATATATCGTGGATACTATATAAGAATATACTTTGGTGTTTATAAGCCCTTATTATAGTTATACCGGTTAGTCTCGGCCGCCTTGATTTTGAATAAGAAGTGTCGAAGTCTAATCTATATTATACGTATCTAGATTAAGATCGTATACTATAGCTTCGATAGTCCTTTATATAACTAGAGTGTTGTTACGGACCTATCCGTCACCAATCAGTGGTGACCCACCAGGCATACCAATGGGCCATCGAGAGCCAACCAGCAGACCTATCAGCAGATCACGTGCAAGCTCACTAAGTAAGAGCATGATCCGCCCTGAGCGGATCTACCCTATAGAGGATTTCCGTTACATAGGTTACTCTACGTACCAGATAACCGCTGTATAGAAGAAGACGGTTAGTCAGTAACACGTGACTATATAAGCAGTAGAACGGTCGACAGTAGAATAGTAGAACGATTCTACTATTCTACTATCTACTATTCTATATAGGAAGAACTTAGGGATATATAAGGATCCTTATTTATATATCTAGTTTAGTTCTTCGTCTTTAATTATATATTATTACTTATATTTACCTTTTAGATTATAGTAACTCTCTACTTAATTATAACTTAATAATACTTACGAGTAGACTAATACCCTAGTATAGATCTACTCGGCGCTCTACCTAGTATTAGTTCCTTAATCGCTTAAAAGGACTTAGGCTATAGTAAGACCCGATTATTAACGTTAGACTATCTAAGGAGTATTAAGGTAAGTATACCCTAAACCTATTTAACCTAACTATAACTAGCTAGCTAGTACGTAATATATTAAAAACTATCTCGAATTAAGTCTCGAGTTACCGATAATATATCTTATATTAGTACCGGAAAGAAGCTAGTAGTTAAATACGACGACCCTAACTCTAATAACGAATAAGATAACCGAATCGAAATACTAAAGGAATAAGTAACGACTTTATTAGCTATGCTATAAGAGTAGGAGAAGTATAATATTTAGGTTAAGGACTACTTAATATAGATATATATTTAGGTTACTACTTCTACCCTAGCTAGTACTATCTAGAGACTAATATTACCTAAAGCTAAGTATTTTAAAGGGAACCGAACTAAGCTTCGAGGATTCCTTACTTAGATAGATATATATATCGATATAAAAAAGGTTAAGCTTCTATCCGAAGCTAGTAGAGTGATTTTTATATTAACCTATCTATATAAATAAATATAGAATTAGCTTAAGTTATATATCTAAGACTACTATAAGAAAATATCTAAAGACTAGTCTATAATAATTACTAAAATCTTTAATAACTATAATAGTTTCCGATAATACTTAGAAAGAACTTTTAGAGATATTAACGCTACTCGAATAGCTAAATAAAAGCTATAAAAGATTAAGTAAATAACTAGCGTATCGATATACTTTTCGGAGTTCTAATAGATTATATCCTATTTAGACTTATCTAATTAAATATATATCCTATACTACGAGGTAGGACTTAAGTCCGATATAAAAGATAAATTAGTATAAATCGATAGGCTAAAAACCTTAGACTAGCTTATTACGATTATAGTTAAGATTAATAATTATATTAATAAACGATAATATAAGTAATAATAAATAGACTAATAGAAGAAGGGTAAGACTTATAGATTTAACCGCTTTAGTAATAGGCGCCGATAGTAGATACTCTAAGACCCTAATCTATATAGCCTAAGGCTAATAGAATTAGACGCTACTTAAGATAAGTAAAATAAGCGTCGCTAGAAGAATCTTTACTTTATTTATAGGAAACTAGGATATTATATAAAGGAATATAAATAGAAGAAACTATATAAAAAATAGTAATATATATAAATAATACGCGAAGTACTATAAGCGACCTAAAAGGGAAAGGCTACTACTAATATAAGTATTAATACCGAAGGAATAAGCGCTAGTTAGGAATATTAGGAGGAAATATACCCTAATAAGTAATAGGGCGACCTAAGAGAGTAGGTTAAGACCCTTATCAATAGCCTTAGATAGAAAAGACGAGTTATTATAGACCTAAAAGACGAACTCTTAGAAGATCTTATAGCTAGATATAAAGGCTTAGATCCTAAAGAGATAATAATAGATAATCTATATATTAAAAGGTTAGCTAATAAGCTAGAAATCGATTATCTAGAAATCGATTAGGATATAGTAGAAAGTTAAGGGTAGATATAGTATATATCTTAGATACTAATCTAAGATCTAATAAGACTTTAGGCTAAGAAAAACCTTAGTTAGCGGTCGTAAGACCTACTAGGACTAAAAACTATAGTTATAGGAATAGAAAGATCCTAAAACCTTAAATATCTTATAACTAACGATATAGGGCCTATAGAGATATAAAACCTAATCCCTAGAGCTAATAGTAATCTAGGAACGCTAAATATACTTCCTAGAATAGATTAAACTATCCTAGAAATACTAATAGAAAGCCCTATAAACTATTATAATAATAAAGAAGCTAAAGAGCTTATAGGATATCTCGAAGGAAAGATATAGCTTAATAGACTAGACTAGTATCTTATTAATATAATCGAGGAAGGCGACGACCTAGTAGGATACCCTTACGAAAATTCTACTTATACGTATAAAGGATATATACGATACCTAGGATATAGTAAGATAGCTAGTATTATATACTATAACGAAACGTATACTACTTATAGGTTAGTAAAGTTAGATTATAATATTAAACTAAGACTACTATAGTAGATAAAGAAGCTATAATAGACGAAAGAATACTAAGAAATTTAGTATAATAGGCGCTAGATATATAATTATAAAGATCGATTAGTAATATATCTAGCGGTAATACTATTAGGAATATATATTAAACTATATATAAACCTATTAATAGGAATAGTATAGACTCTTATTAACTTAGGAGTTACTAATAACTTTATAAATCTAAGGTTTAAGGAAGATTAATAAGTTATAACTAAATCCCTACTATATATAATACTAGTTATAGGACTCGATAGAGAAGTACTCTTAGAAGGAGTTAATAAAGAAACTATTATATTATCTATATTTATCTATAGATACCTAGAATTAATATAGTTTAATATCTTAGAAATAGAAGACTATAATATTATTTTAGGTATTTTATAGCTTAAGAAGTATAACCTAAGTATCGATTAGTAATTAGGACGAATTACCTTCGATAGGTATAAATATATATAAGAATATAATAAGTATAAGATATATTAATAGAAGTCTATCTAATAAAACGAGCGTAGTAAATAGTCCCGAAGTAAGAGGACTAGAGTATTAGTTATAAGCGTTACCTTAGATACTATAGAATAATTACTAGATATATCCGACTAAGAATTAAAGGACTATATAATAATTAAATATAAGAAGCTATATATAACTAGCGATATATCTTAGATTCTAAAGGAATACTAGAAGTTTATAGATATTTTTATAGTACCGGCCGATAGAGTATTACCGAAATATAGACCTTTTAATTATAAGATTAATATAATAGAAGGTACTAAACTAACTTTTATATCTATCTATTAGTTATCCTAGAAGGAGTCCGATATATTTAAAGAATATATTAAAAAGAATCTATAAAAAGGATATATCTAAGCCTTAAAGTTAGCGGCTAGATATCCTATTATCTTTATACTAAAAAAGGATAAGAGTCTTCGACTTTATATAAATTACTAATATCTAAATTCGATTACTATTAAAGATTAATACCCGCTACCTTTAATTAATAAGATATAAGATAGGATTAAATATACTAAGTATTTTTTAAAGTATAATATTACTAATATCTATTATTATATTAGGATTAAACTAGGCTATAAATAGAAAATAGTATTTAGAACTAAATTCGGATATTATAAATATAAGATTATATCTTTTAGCCTTATTAATATATTAGCGATATTCTAACGTTTTATCTTTAAAGCGATTAAGGAATATTTAGATATCTTTATTATTATATATCTAGATAATATCTTAGTCTTTTTAGAAATACTCGAAAATTATATTAAATATAATAGACTTATATTATAGAAGCTAAGAGAAGTAAAGGTTACTCTTAAACTAAAGAAATACGAATTCTATATTTAGAAAACGACTTTTCTTAGATATTATATTATCCTTAATAAACTAGAGATAGAAGAAGATAAGATTAAAAATATTATAGAATAACTAATACTTAAAAATATAAAGAAAGTATAATAATTTCTTAGTCTAGCTAATTATTATTAGAAGATTATCGATAGATACGCTAGAGTTATATTAGGACTTTACTATCTTACTAAGAAGGATTAGAAATTTATATAGGATAAAGTAGTAGATAAATCGTTTTAAAACCTTAAAGAACTCTTTAATAAAAAAATAATTATAGCTATATTTAGCTATAACCGACTAATTATTATAGAAACCGATATATTAGATTATACTCTAAGAGTAAGATTAATATAGCTAAGAACTAATAGTAAGTACTAACTAGTTATATTTTAGTCGAGGAAAATAGTTCTAGTAGAACTTAACTATAATATATATAATAAAGAACTATTAGCTATAGTATTAGCGTTCTAAGTCTAGAGAGTATATCTAGAGGGAGTAAAATATATAGTAATAGTTAAAACCGATTATAAGAATCTTACGTCCTTTACTATAATAAAGAAATTAATAAGATAATAAGCGCGATAGGCCGAAACCCTTATATAATATAATTTTAAAATCGAATACTATAAAGGAATAGAGAACGGATAAGCCGACGCTTTAAATAGACGACTAGATTATAAATTAGGAACTAAAGTAATAGATCCTACTATATTAAAATAAAACTCTAATAGTACTATTTTATATAATAAGTAGTTACTAGCTATAACAATAGAAGTTAAGGATAACGACTTTTTATAGAAAATTAAAGATATATTAGAGGAAGATACGATTAATTAATTTATCGAGAAGGGTAGAAAACTTACTAAAGATAATTAAGGATTACTTTATATATAGAGATTAATATATATTCTAAGTAAGCTAAGAGATAAGGTTATACGACGGATCTAGACTCTCTACCACCGTGGGTGGGACGCGACGGAAATTGTTGCGTATGAAATAGCTCCTCCTTACAATTAACATCGAAACAGCTGCCCCCAGAACTGCCAGGCGATCCCTCGGTGGTGAAATCCACATCTATTGAAGAACAAGATCGATTACACTAGCTAACCACTCCCCCAAGGATCGGTGAAACTACATGTCTTCTTTCTATTAATATTCCCTCCCATATATTGGGGACTTTCTCATTAGGTGTACACCATTAATCACGAAGGTAACTCATATGAACGCGAAGTACCGTCCATCTCTGGTTTCAAAACATAGAACCCAGGCATCCCACTGTCTTCTGAAGACTGATCCTGAGGCGCTGGCTCTTCCACCAGACCATTCTGGGGGAAGCCAGGCGACCGGGTTTTCCTCTTCGCCTTATATAACATGAAGGCAAGAACAACAATGATGCTAATCCCCACCACGCCACCGACCACTCCGCCCGCGATCGCCCCAACGGCGGTGGAGGAACTGGATCCGGAATGCGAAGGTGCCGTGGCCACCGTATTTGCGTCTGACGCCGACGAGGATGAAGTTGCACTTGATGGCGAGCTTGTTGTAGAGATAGTATTGCGAGATGAAGGGTCGGTGATATTGAAATAATGTGTGTTGAATCCCTGCGTAGTGCTATAGAATGCGGCAATGTAGTAGATATCCGACGTCGTCATATCCATTCGGTTGACTACCCAAGGGAACGAGCCATTGTTTGGGGCATTTTCTAGAAGATGTAGAAACAGTGTTAGGACCCGAGGAGGCTAGCAGAGTTAGAAATCATAGATGAAAGACATACGTGTAATTCTGTGACATAGCCTACTATAACTCAGGGGGCAGCCGTTTCCATCACCCGAAGTATCCTGGAGCAGCCAGAAGTCGACAGGGTTGTCAGACTCTAGTGTCCATTTCAATGATATTTTTTGGCCAACAGTGAAGGCTAAATTGGAGACATATTCGCCTGTATCACCAGAGGTAGGCGGATACGTGAAGCCATTGCCCGCAGCGGCTATACTCAGATGGAGAAAATATAGGAGGACAAGTGTTGACATATTCTGGCAGGGTGGGAATTGACGTATTAAAAGCTTTGCAAACAATGCTGGTCCGCTACGAGCCTATATGCTCATTTGGAAGAAAATAAGGGCCTGGCGGGATCTCGTCCGGGGCATGTACAGTATGTTTATAACAATGTCTTCGGACATACGCACATGGACCCCAGCCCCCCCCTTCTTTACCACCCAGTCGACTTAAGCCCGCTCATATGCGTCAGAGCATGCTAAAAAAAAAAGCAAATTTATAACGAGCCAACCTTGATAGCGTGGTTCAGTCGTTCACTAAAAGTGGGGACACTAGATGTTCCTCATGCAGGAGCTGGGTTTCCTAGAAGGGAAATCCAGTGCGACAGCAAATCAATTAACCTTCGGCCGTCATGCACGCGTCCATCCCTTGCCATATTAGCAGTGAACCATATCCATGCCTTTCAGTGCCCCCACACCGTTCCCCAAAGAGGGTACAGGTTTGGGTGGGCAGAAAGGCACGGATACTTGTTCATCTCGGAGATCGCACAACAATCAGCCGCATTTGCGTTTCGAAATCTTGGCGCACAGCAGCTCGTTGAAGCGACCGTACTTAGTGGAATTTTGGAAAATTTTGAAGTCGTCTTGTTGCATGCTAATAGGAATCCTAGAGACAGAAAATGGAGCGTGGGGAGAAGGAAGAAAAGAGAAGAGAACACCGGATTGGCCATCTAGAATCACATGACCATCCTCCAACAAGTTGGGCATCAACGCCGGAGCCTAGCATATCGTGGTCAGGGGTCGACCTAGTGCTCTGAATAGAGCCACTCGAACTGGCGTCAAAAAGAGCAACTTCTACATTCGGTCATGGAGCAAGCACCATCTCACCGGGGCGCACGGCGGACATTCAAGTGCGAAACATGCCGGGACCGGAAAGTGAAATGCGGTACGTGCGCCTACCCATTCCACCCAGTTCAGTATCATGTTTTCGGCCTTTAACAGCCAATATCGTGCTCTAGATCTGCAAAAGCCATTTTGCGGGCCGTGTAGGAGCGTCGGCACCATTTGCAAAGGCTACAATTCGCCAGTTGTCATTGTCCCTTTTCAACCACCAAGCACCCGCCAACGACAATTGACAGGCGATAGAGGTGCTACCGCGTCGCTAGCCCGAGAGAGTGGTAACGCATTAATACTCCGAAACCAACGCACAGAACCTTCCATTCCTCGATTTCTCAATGACTCGAACGCAAATTTCCGGGAGTATTTCTTGCTCCGCCTTATCGGTGATGGGTGTTCTCAGGGGATGATCAACCTTCTGTCCGAATTTATCAACAGAAACGTCCCAGACGGTTCACTGCAGCAAAGGTGTATTGATGCACTAACAGTGACATATTACTCTAGGAGGGCTGTGGATTATCGCGCATCTGAGGAGGGTATGAAGGCATATTCGAATGCATTGACAGGCGTCCGGTATAGTAATATCTTCAACACACCTCTACACAGACCCGGACAGCTAGACGTCGGCGTTCTTATGAGCATAATGTGCCTTTGTTTGTATGAGAATATCATTGTCACCAAGGCCAGATCCTGGATCATGCATTATGGAGCAATCTCTTTGCTGGTAAATTCACTATCACGATTTAGCTGTTGCTTGTGCTAATTCTCTGTCGCAGCTCGAGATGCAAAGACCAGAGTATTATCGTACCGGAGAGAACAGACGTATTCTCCAGGCGTTCCGTTACATTATAGTAAGTACACAATTATACTCAGTACTATATTGCCTCACAGCCAATTCTAATAATATTCTCACAGATTGTCAGCGCTGGCACCTTTCGCCATCCCTGCTTCTTAGCCCAGGAAGCCTGGAAAGAAGTCATCAAGCCCGTAGGGCGTGAAATCTCCTACAAATTCGACAACTTGCTTAATATTGCCGTTGACATTCCAGGCTTGTTGCACGGCCTTGATAACTTGAAGAACGGAAGACTGTCCGATGGCACAGAACGAGCTTCATTGGCACTTCGCACAGGAAGGATGCTACTAGCGCTACAGGATTGGCGAGAGATCTCCCTGCCTTCCTTATCAACAGACGGTGACTATTCGCGACAAATTAGTCTCCAGACTGCTTCTGCAATTGCTTTCCACCACATGCTTCTCCTTCTGATAGAGGAGTTATGTTATTTGCTGGCAATCCCTTGGCTGCCACCGACATCATTATCGTTGAAGGCGACGTTCGGCCTGATAAGTGCATCAGCCGCGATGGGACGGGTCGAGCGCAAGCATGTTCTAGCGAGTGATATACTTCGCCTGTCTCAGCAATTCATTGGGAGTGAGACCCCAATCTACGGGGTCCTTAATTTTATGATACCCTTGCACGTAGCGCATGACAACCTTATCAAGCAAAGCCCAGAGATGGACGCTATCGACCACCTCATGGGCGCGGTCGTGGCAAAACAGCATGGGTTTCATATCGCACTGCAACATGAAGGGATGTACAAGGCGTTTGAAGATGCCTCTCCATCGCCTTGACAGCTTTGCACGGGGCTAGGGCTGAGGATGGGCATGCAGTATGCAGGAGGATGGTTGGGAGGCCCACCGAGGCTATGATTCATGAATTTTTTTTTCGGGTCGTTCCTTTCGTTTATTTCCTGAAAACAATGTCCTGGACAGCTGGTATTCACAGTCCGTTTTCCTTGTCGCATATACGGTTGATGTTCATATACCCTTTCGGCTTAAATTCTAGTATTTCTAAATCTTATCGTCTGAAGAAACACAATCCACCCATTTCGAGGCTAAGTGATAATTAATCTCACTCGCAGTCCACAATTGTATCTAATTCATCTCATATCTGATCGTTCTCCAAGATTTGAGGGGGTCTACGTATCGCTATTTAAAAGTGACCTACTATCGGTCTTTTTCCTCGAATATAATAGTATAAATAACCCGCCATAGCGGCGGAGTATTATCTTCTACGCCTTATAAAATTTAGGGATTAGCAACAGGCCAACATATCCTCCCGTCAAGGCGGCTAAGTTTCAGCAAATGGCTACTTCTCCTGCCAGGAATTATAATGAAAAGTGTGTACTGTATACGCTGCGATATCATTAATTTAGGCAGGCGGACACGAGACCAGCTCTCCCGCCCTATAATCAACCTTTATGCCAACATACCCTAGAGATTATGCGGTATTCTCGCGCTAACGAATAGTCTACGATTAATACTCATCCGACTGATTAATATATCCAAAAAAGTGCTTCACGAAATCGTACAATCGCAAATGAAGGCAGTTGAGGGCTTTTCCGAATTTTGATGTTGGGAAAATAGAGTATTGTGACGGAAAGCTGGTGTACGAACAATGTATGGTATAAAATGATCAATGTTGACAACTCTAACTAAAATGACAAAACCCGCTATTTCAACAATCTGTGCGGACCATGATGACTAACTGTAATATGCACTTTTGTATGGTATGCCTAGTACCTAATGTCATATGATGTTTCCGGTATATTACCTGGTTTCTACCATATATTCGGACTTAGTATTCGACACACCCCCTAGTTCTTAAAGCCTACATTTTCCTAGCTTTAAGAGCTGTCAATTCCTTTATTTCTGCACTCTCTTTAAACAGCCTCTGTTTCTCGGATTAGATAACTGATCTCTCTCATCCCAATCAGCTCTCTAAAGAGATACTACTTCTATCTTAGAAGCGCTTTCGTAAGGCTATCTACTAGTATAGCCGTAGTTAGAACCTAGTTAATATTGACTCGACCCTCGCTAACCTCCTATCTTATCTAGCAACGATTAATATTAATATATCGGAGCTTCGTATATATCGCCGCCCCTTCCTTTGTTAACAAATCGACGGTTTGCTAGTTATTATATATAATAGATAGTAGGTGATTAGGTTAGAAGCCTAATATAGAGAGGACTCGACGCTACTACTATATAGTTTTGCCTACTTCGGCTAGAGCTAGTAGCTCTACCTCTATAGTCGACGTAGTTACTATCTTTTACTTAGTTACTTTCTAATCTATAGGGCCCTTATATAGCTTATAAATATAACCCTCGGAGCTTTTCCTATCCTTATTATCTCTAAACGATATATCGCTTATAAATTCAATTAATTTTATAGCTAGCTAGAGACTAGGGTTATTTTTATCTTAACTTCTAGTACTATACTCGATAGCCTAGTACCTAATTTCGTATAGATATTATATAACTTAGTCGATAGTATTAATATACTTAGGACCGGAGTTAGTTAGGAACTTAGCTAGTTTAGCTATAGCTTTTATAGTATCTAGCCGGGTAATAGTAGTAATATACTAAGTAGATCCTATCTTAGCCTAGAAACTATAAATCTAACTCGGTAACGCTACTCTATTATACGGAATTAATTAATCGACCGCTAGTAGAGATCCTACTTTCCTTATAGTAATTAAATTATACCTTACTACTATACTCTTAATATAGCTATCTTAGTATAACTAAAGCTTCTTTTACTCTCTATCTCTAAGAATTCGTATATTTAAGAACTAGCTTATATCTAGTTTACGTAATTCCTATTACTTCTTAATCTCTCGATCTAGCTAAGCTACTTACTCTATATAGTCGGGATAATTTACTATAATAATATCGTCGATATAAAAGAAAACGATAATACTAGTAGTAATAAAGATATATAGATCTTTCGGTACTAAGGTAAGGCCTAGTTTTACTAGTACCCTAGTTACTTCTTACTACTATAGTCTTAGTAATATACGTAATCTATATAGCGCTCTATAGAGTAGCTAGTATTAATTTAATACTTCGAATCTTAGAGGGTATTTTATATATATCTTACTTTATAGTACTAAGTTTAGAAATATAGTAACTATATCTCTCTATATTATATCTAGATCGAATACGGCTACTAATATAAAGATAGCCCTCGCTATCTTAATAGCTAGTATTATAGCTCTCTTTTCCTCTATAAATAACTATTAAAGATCTCTACGAATATAGATTCTTACTTTAAACTTCTCTAGTATACTATTAGTATCGAATTTATATATAAATATCTAGTTTAGTAGTAGTACTTATATACCTCGCTCGTTCGGAATTAGAATCTAGGAGAACGTCTCCTTTTTCCTTAATATCTCGACCTCGAATATAGCCGCTATTTTAAACTACTCGGCGAATCGATAGGTCTTTAATTAATTCTAGGTCTCTAGCGGCGGTAGTAGGTTATCTCGATATAGCTTAGTATCGAACCGCTTATTTATACCTATAGTAAATATATATAGTAAGCTTAGTAGCTCTATCTATTCGTTAAGAGATAGGTATATAGTATAATCTAGATCTAACCTTAGTTTCCTAGATCTAGTACCGGTAATAATATTTAATATATCGATATTACCTACTATATCTCTTAGTGCTAGTTCTAGTATCGGCGAGTACGCTATTTCTTACTATAGTTAACGCTCTATCTTAGTGTCTTTATCTATCTCCTCCCCCCTAGTTTCGATCGACGGTATTATAGAAATCGGATCTAGCGACGATAGGATAGTTTCTCGGGGTACTAGATTCGATAGAATCGATAGATTTAGAGATATTAATACTATTCTAGATAGTAGTAGTAGGGAGGATGCTAATAATAATCTTAGTAGTAGGGAGGTTGGAAAGCTACTAGGTAGATTATCTATATACTCCCTCGGCCCTATCTAGTCCCTCGATATTTACTCCCTCGGTCTAGTAATAGACTATAGGGTAGGTAATCTAGTTATTGCTAACTTAGTATTTATATATATTAGAGTTCTCTCTTTAGCAACTATTTCTCTAGCTACTTAGCTAGCTATTTTATTATCTATTTTATTAACTATATCGATAGCTATATTAGCTATATTAGTTTTATCGATAAGTATATTAGCTATATTATTAGGTATATCGATAGCTATATCGGTAGCTATCTAGCCTTACTCGGTAAGCTTAGTTTTATTATCTAGAGCTATCCTCGCTATCGATCTAGGTATTTGTATCTATATACTAAGCTTAGCCTACGCTTCTTCTATAGTAAGTATAGCTAGCTATATACTTAGTACTAGTCTATCTATTATAGTACTAACTATATTTTCTTACTTAGGTAGGGGTCTCGATTTTAGATATTATATTATCCTTAATAGATTAAAAATAGAAAAAGATAAGATTAAAAGTATTATAGAATAGCCGATATCTAAAAATATAAAGGAAGTATAATAATTTCTTAGTTTAGTTAATTATTATTAGAAGATTATCGATAGATATACTAGAGTTATATTAGGACTTTATTATCTTATTAAGAAAGATTAGAAATTCTTATAAGATAAGGTAGTAGAGAAGTTATTCTAGGACCTTAAGGAACTCTTTAATAAAAAAATAATTATAGCTATATTTAGCTATAATCGACTAATTATTATAGAAACCGATATATTAGATTATACTCTAGGAGTAAGACTAGGCCTTGACAAGTCCCGCAGCACCAAGGCAATTTTGGTGCTACGATATGGTGCTGCGAGGTGCTACGGGACTAAGCCAATTTTGGTGCTGTTGTATAGTACTACGGCACTAAGTGCTACAGCACCGTCGCAGTACTAGTTTTAGTGCTATACTAGCATAATTCTACTAAGGATTACCCAAAATAGATAGATAAAATACTGACTTATTTTGATAAATTACTATTTTTTACTTATATATTAGTATTAGGAGGTAGTTATAGTCACTTACTACTAAGATTCGTATTAACTTACGTTTAAAAAATAAATTAAAAGCTTTAAGTACTATATAAATGTAGATTTAAAGTAAAATCAGCCTAAAATAGTATAGAATTAGTAGTTAATATTATATAGAAGAGAATATACTAGTATTATATATAGATATATATATTTACTCTATATATATACCTTCTAGTTTATACCTTATAGTTTCGATTTTATTTTTCTATAGTAAAAGCTTATATTTTACCCTTTTTTAAATAGTATAGTACTACAACCGGATAAATTACCCTATATCTTATTTTGACCTTTATAATTAATATATTATATAGGCTTTATATACTAACTTAATATACTATCTATTTTCTAACCTCGGTTAGAAATATAAGGTATAGAAGGCTTTATATAATGATTTGATATACTATCTATTTTCTAACCGAGGTTAGAAATATAGGGTATAGAAGGCTTTATATAATAATTTGATATACTATCTATTTTCTAACCGAGGTTAGAAAATTAGACTTTAGGTAGCTATATAGAATAAGTAGATAATATAGACCCCGAGATATATTATATTATTATACTATATCGTAGTACTATAGGAGTACTATAGGAGTACTATAGTACTACGGTAGGGCTATTATAGGAGTTAGTAGTAAATGTCAGCCGGAATTACCCTTCCTCCGTCCCGTCATTTATATGACTTCACTTCTTATATACAGGATCCCCCTATAGATCACTTCCCAAATTACTTGCTATATCTTAGTAAGCAATTCAGGGGTTATATAGTTAAGCATATTGCTCTTTAGAAATACACACTCATTTTACCACTTACTCGGTATAGTAAGTTCATGGTATCAAGTCATTTTTAGTCCTTCATTGTTCGATAGTTATAAGCCCGGTTAGCTAGTACGTCTTTTTTGAAAACATTATTAGAGTACTATATTGTCGCTTAAATAAGTCAAGCCTCTAATACCCCTAAGCTAGAAGATAAGTCTAAAAGTATTATATAGTAAGTATATCAATTAGTACTATAAGGTATTAATAAGCGACCTCTAGTCTTCTACTCTTCCCTCTAAACTAATAAGAATAAACCGATTTAACGCCGAGATATCACTCTACGATAACTTCGCTCTAATAAGTACTACCGACTACGGGGTAGTAGGTATACCGCGAGTACGAATTATCTTTAAGAACTCGCTCTAATAGCGAACCTAGATTATATAAGTAGAGACAATTATATAAAGCCTCGATATATAGAGATATATAGATCCTATAATACCTAAGGATAAGTAAGTTAACCCTTTAGTAAGGCTAGATCGCCCGAATAAGTAAGACGTAAAGTACGCTAAGGACGTAATAAGTAGTCGTTTAACGAGAGATACTTAAACGGACTTTAGGTATAATCGTAAGGACTACGACGACGATATAGTAGAGTATAGAATAATTAGACTATTACTTAATAAGATCTCTAAGAGAATTAGAAATACTCTCGCTATAGAACTATAAAGCCTTATAGTTAAAGAAAGGGATACTAGAAAGCTCCTCTAAGTATTACGAGTACGCTTCTTATATACCGATAAAATACGTATATAACTTATTCGGAGATAGTAGAACGAACTATTTCTTATATTAGTTAAAGATATAGGAATCGATATATAGTTACTAAGAATAGAGAACCTCTATGTAGAGTATAAATTAGTAGAAGTTAACTTTACTAAGTTAGAAGAAAATACTATTTATAACTTTCTCTAAGTACTTATACCTCTCGAACTATAGTTCTATTACTAATAGTATATAAGGGTATTCGAAGTAGAGTAACTAGTAACCTTTATAGGCGTAATTAACGCTTACCGCTCCGAGCGAGTACTTTTTAATAAGAAGAAACCTAAAAGTAAAGTACTATAGGGAGCTTTTATAATACTAAATAGTAAGTAGAAAGCTAAGTTAGATACTTCCTTAGCTAGTAAAACGACCTAGTTAAGCAAAACGATATAGGAACTATTATATATATATAGAGAGAAATATCGATACGCTATATACCTATATCTAGTTAAGGTAGTAAGGCCTAGTAACTAGAAACTAGATCTAGAAGTAAATAAGAAGATTAATACGAATAGAGAGAAGCTAAAAGGCAAAGCGAAGGAAAGAGTAAAGAAGTTATAAGTAAAACTTACTAAAGAAGAACTACCTACTTAGTCTTACTTTATAGTAATCGATAAGGATAAGGATAGTTACTTTCTAGCTATACTAGCCTAGTAAGGGATCGAGTAAGTTAAGAAATAAGTATACTCTCCGGTATCTTATACTACTCTCCTACCGGTTAATACTATATTTCTAATAGAAAACGTACCTCGATATACGATTAAGGACCGATAGCTAGTTAATTTAGTAACTAGTAAGTATATTACTAATAATAAAAGCCTCTTTATCGAATTTAGAGAGGTCGACGGCTTTCTTAAGGTCGGCGATATAATAACTAAGCTTTATAGAACTAGTAAAGTCTAACTTCGGATAATAGGCTGTTTTAGTAAGCCCGTTACTCTTACTTTATTAGAAGTAGAGTACTTACCTAGCTTTTACTATAATCTTATTTTAGTAGCTCTTATAAAGAAGAAAGGATTTAAAGCCGACTTTAATAAGCTTACTATCGTTAATAAGATAACTAGAAGGATTTTCTTTAAGCTTAAAGAGATAGGCAATTTCTTTATACTTCCGTAAGTAGATTTTATATTTCTAGTAGTATTTATAACTATTTTATTTAATACTAAGCGATCTATATAACTACTTATTTTAAAAGTAATAGTATTAAGATAGTACCGACGACTTAGTTATATATTTAGTAAGCGTATCGAACGACTTACCTAGATAATAGAAGGAGTATAAATCCTACCTTCTACTCCGAAGAAGTATAAACCGGAGCTATATAAGACTTATTAGTTAAGTAATAAGCCTATATAGATCTTACGCCGAGTTTAAGTACTTTCTTTAGCCTACTTAGCTGTATATACTTTAATCTTATAATACTCTAGGAAGCTTATAACGATAATAAATAGATTTTATATTTCTATATAGATAGGATTCGCTATTACTAGGCGATTACTTATAAAAGAAAGAGCGGCTACTAATAAGTAATTATATAATTTATTTTATAAATACGAATTTAGTTTAACTTATTAGTTCGTACTTTTTACTCTAATAATAAGGCTTTAATTAGCTACGAGGTTATTAGCTTTCTATATAAAAACGGGATCGTAATCTAATAAGTAGTCGTTAGAACCCTAGAGTAGAATAGCTTCGCGGAGCGATCTAGGGGGGTAATTATCGCTAGAGTAAGAGTACTTCTTAAGGATTCTTAACTTCCTAAGAATCTCTAGCTAGAAGCTATTTAAGCTATTATTTATATACTAAATAGATCGTTTATAAAGCTTAATTTAGGAAAGTAGATAGTTCTATAATAAGAGTTTTACTAGTAAAGGATAGATACCTTTATTCCTATTAACCTTTCGAACCTTAGAGTTTATAGTTACTATATATATATAAGGATATAGGGAATTCCTTAATCGGATAAGATAAATCGTCGAGTAGAAATCGGCTATTTAGTAGGTTACTAAGTAAGTAATATCTAGAAGGTCTAGTTCCCGCGTATAAATAGTTATAAGTACGTTCGTAACGCTACTTTTAATAAAAACCTAAACTATAGGAAGTATCCTTCTAAGCCTTCTAAGATCCGGTAAGTCGAATACGCCGAAATTATTAAGGAAGATAAACTCGACGTAGAGCTTAAGTAAGTAGTTCGCTAAGCTAATATTATACCTATTATATAGAATAAGGAAGTATAGGCACTTAATATATAATAAGCACTTAATCTAGAAGTAGAACCTACTTTACTATAGGAATTAGAGAATCGATAAGTAACTATTCGATATAGAGAAAAGCCCTTTTCCTCTAAGTAATAAGTATAATACTATTAGATAACTCTATCGCCGTTACTAAGTATTATACCTTTACTAGAAAGCGCTCTATAAAATCTATAACTAGTAGAGATCCTACTACTAGAAAGTAAGGAAATATCTCTAATTATAATACCGTTAATAGTAGTTCCGTATAAACCTATTATATTAGAGAATAAGCCTTTTATAGTAATTATTCTATATAAACTATAAAGGTAGATAATTAGGCCCGAAGTAGTACTTACTAGGCCGATTCGACTATTAGTCTACGAGATAGACTACTACAATTAAGGATGACACGGTGAATAGGAGGCCAGAAACGGCCGCTTTTGACGCCGTTTTAGGCCGCTCGCTCACTATAATAGGTCTTGGCGTCACGTACACTAAAGCCCACGGCCAACCCCGTTTACTACTACCTATGCTTCGGGTTGGCCGTGCCTAGTGCCTAGGCCTATTGATCGACCGATGTCTATTCGTACCGTAGCCGCTATAGGGCCCTATCCTCGTCTACCCTTAGTCACCCTCCTAGCGGAGGGGAGCTAAAAATGGCTCTTCTGTTTACCGTTCTACTTCCCTAAGTTTCTATAAATATCGACTACTATAGCCCCGAACGATAGTCCTCCCTCGCTCCTTAATAACTCTAGCCCTAGTTCTAGGTTTCTAACGAGTGACTTACTTAAAGTAAAATAATATTACTATCGACTATTCTCTCGTACTTCTACTCGTCTTCGCTACTCTTTCCCCCTCTTTAAACCTATACTATATTCCGCTGCTATACCTTCTCTATATCCTACTCTATCTAATAATAAGAGTAATACTAACTTACGCCTACCCGAGATCTTCTCGAATAACGCTTCCGACTCTAATTCCTCTACCGTACCTAGCGTCTTCGACTTAAGTAGCGAATCCGAATCCGAGTCTAAAGATAAGTCCGAAGATAAGCTAGCTTTAGAAGATAAAGAGAAGTAACTTCTACTAGAATACTATCTCTAGGAGGCCGAGTCTCTTAATATCTCCTAGCTCTAATAAAAACGCTATAGCCTGAAAACTTAGGAGAGATTAGATAAGACGTAATATTTTTAGGATAGATAAGATATCCTTATAATATCCCGCTTCTATTACTAGGTTCGCTAATTATTCTAGGTTCTATAATAGTATAAAGCGCGGTCCGGTAGAATATTTATCCTAGCTCTCTAATATAGAGGAGACGGTACGCTTCTTTAAGATTCTCTTCTCCTAGCGGTATAACTAGCGATATAGAAAGGATAGATATCGTACCCTAGGAGTAAAGACTAAAAGCTCGCTCGACTTATTCTAGAAGTAGTAGTATCTAATCTATAAGGCCGAGGTTAGATATAAGCTTAGTAAAGATATCTAAGTTAAGATCTATAATATAAGATCCCGATTAAGTATCGAGATCGGTATAGATAATACGCGACTAATATTCTATAGGTACTCGCGATAATTACTAGAGATAAGAAACTTTCCCTTAAAGGTCGACCGAAAGCGACTATATATATCGAGGATATAGCCGAGTTTGCCTGAGTAATCCTATCTATAATAGAGATAACTTTTCTTTATAGCTAGTACCGGATATAACTCCTCCTTTTCTACTAGCTAGCCGCTATTACTAGTAGCCGTCCTAGGGCGCTACTAAAACTTCGCTTTTAGGATCTTAAATTAATACTAGTTCGGGATCTAAATAGAGGACGTCCTCGACTTTTTATCTACTTAAGACCTAAATTTATAAAATCATTTCTTAGTAAAAAAGAGTTATAAGAATATCCCCTTACTAAGCTATTCCTTATACTTATCTTTCCTCTAGTTATATACTTTTTAGCGCCCTTTTACTTATTATTTCTAATTAGAAATATATTCCCGATTCCGGAGATTATCTTTAATCCTATATTAGTCCTTAGTCCTTATATTTTCCTACTAGGTATACTATTTAGAATTAGCGTATTTAAAAGTCTATTAAAAGACGGCCCTATAATAGACTACCCTAAGAAATTATACTATCTTCGGATCCTAGATAGACTTAGTTAGTAGGAATTAAAGCTAAAGGACGAAATTCTTAATTAGAATATATTTTACTAAGTAGTACGAGAGGCTAATAGCCTTCGAATCGTACTCGAAAAGGGACTTATTAGGTTATAGCTATATTATAGAATAAAACGAGGTAGTAAGATTACCGGCTTTACGGAAGTCGCGAAGCTATATTATCTCCGATACGGCGTAGTAAAAGTGTTTAACGATAGTTATAAGTAATATATTATATATATATAACTTTTAGCTAATACGTTCCTCTCTACTAGCGGATATATCGAATAAATTATAGAACGTAATACTATAGTACGCTAGTATTAATACTTTTATCCGGTACTATAGTATAGGTATCTACGTAGATACCTAGGCAATTATATAGGGTATACCCGCTTAGAAATAGCTTATACGGTTTACCTACTTAATAAGTCGATCGATTGATCTTTATAGACCCTATCGGCTTAAGGATTCGAGCTATATTAAAGATATTCCCCGCGTACGTACTTTAGAAGATAGAAAATAGGCGAGAAAGCGAATTTGAGACTCTAAGAAGTATATCTATAAAGAAGTATACGCTAGATTATAGTAGGAGTTCGGCGATATTCTACTATAGAGTAGCCTTTATTCCCGAACAATCTATAAGTAGTAGAAGGCTAAAAAGAAAGGTATTAAAAAGTTACGCTAGAAATTTAATTATATAGATAAGTAGTATAATCGCGTAGTAAAGCAATTATAAAATAAGAAGGGATAGTAAAAGTACCGATTAATTCGTAAAAATCTAGAGCGGTATAAAAATAAGTAGCCGGTAATCGATAGTAAGCGATAACTTTCCGGAAAAGTTATTAACGAAGAAGTTATAGGGGCGTTATAGCGTACTAGCTATATAATACCGTAGTATATAATACTTATCGATAGTATTCTAACTCTACCGGGTATAATAGTCGAGAAAGAATATAAGCGTCGAATTACTATAATTAATATAGTGATTATAGTCTATAATATAGAAGAGGGTACTCCCTCGCGGCCTTAGGCCCTATAAAAACGTACCGCCGATACTACCGATATATTACCTACTACCGCTTTACCTAAGAGGTAGAAGCCTATCCCCTTAGATAAGAATAGTAATACTTTTTCTAAAGCGATCGCTTCTATTTATATTAAATATCTAGGAGAGAGACTAACAATCTACTTTATTTATCTTAGTAATACTAGACTACTAGAACGTAAACGCCTAAAAATATATAAGAACCCTAGGTCCCTTAGCCGATACTTCGTTAATAAATATATTAAGCCGTTCCTAAATAATATATACTATAAGTATAATATTTACGGGGAAAAGCTAATATTAAAATCGGGACTCCTAAACTATATATAAAGAATATATAGAACTATCTCCTACCTACCTTTACTAGCTCTTAGCCTACCCCTTTCTTAAATATCCTATATTTCTTATTTCTCTATTAAATATATCCTATAGAGCGAGGTTAAGCGTATATAGTATATAAATATCCGATCGTATAATTATTGATTTTAGGGAAATTTATTAATAATTACTCCTAGTTAAGATATCTAATAACGAGTTATAATAATAAAATCAGAGTAATAATATAATTAGTAAGTTATAGTACTACCTACGCCGAATCTTCTTACTATAGCGAGCGTTCAAATCTCTATCTAAGTATCCTACGCTAATTATAGAGGCTAGAACTTTACTTAGTAGGCTAGTATAAGGCTCTTTAGAAAAATAGTCTTTTCTTAGCGGTTTATCTAGTACTTCTCTATACTTTTTATAATCCTAAAAACTACCCTTATAAGCCTCGAGTTAATAGTTGATTTCTATTATACTAGCTTTCCGCTCTTACTTAGTATATACTCTTTAGAATCGATCGTATAGGTTTACTTCGAAGGTATAGCTATTATAGCGGAACTAATCTTTAATAGCGTTATAAAAGCGTAATATTTACTAGCTAGCTAAGGTTAGCTAAGTAACCCCGCCTTCTATCTATAAAACCCCCTACTCTACTAAGGCACTTAGTTTAGGAAATATTTGCTCTATATATAATATATAATAGTACTTATTTGGTTCTATAGCTAGTAAGATTTAAGGTAGGTTTTAATAGGGCTATAAGGACTTACTAAAGTATCGACTAGAAAGGTCCTTAATATTAAAACGAAATATAGACCTAATATTAGGTTCTCTATTTAACTTTCTAGGAATATAGTCCTAGAAGCGATAATAGCTTCTACTACTAGAATTAGCTTATAATAGAATTACTCGTTTCTAATCGGTAAGCTTATCTTTAATATACTTTCTTTCAAACGTAACTCGCTTAACTAGGTCCTATATAATCCTCTCCTACTTACTATCGTTTTTATCCGAGGGATTATCGAGGTAAGTTTCCTCCGGAGAGAGGTTAACTAGCCTTTTATAAGAAGTTATACTTTTTACGATAGACTTAACCTTAGGGGAATATAGAAATAAATAGGAGGAGTTATACTTATAAAGGAAGTAGGATTATTTTTATAAAAGGGGAGAGAAATACCCTTATAAAAGGTCCTAGACCTCTAGTATCTTATATATAGTAGCCGAATACTACTAATATTACGTAGAGGAGCCTTAACCTATCAACCCTTAGCTACGCGCCGTCTTATCGCCTACCTATTAATCAACGCTATAATTAGAAAATCATAGTTTAAGACCCCCTATTAGGCTTATAATTGGTTTATAGGACGATAACTAATTATACTGTTATAACGTATTTTATAAAAGGGTATATTTAGTAAATACGAATATATCGGGTCGATAATTGGCCTTTAAAGAGATAACTAAATATCCTATTTTTAATAATAAATTCTATATATAGAAGAAGGCCCTATAAGGAAGAAGGTCCCGTATAGAAAAGAAACTACGTATAGAAGAGGGCCCCGTATAGAAGAAAATTACGTATAGAAGAAGGCTCCGTATAGAAGAGATCTCTATATAGAAGAAGCCTCTATATAGAAGAAGAGTACGTATGGAAGAGATTTCCGTATAGAAGAAATCTATGTATAGAAGAAGGCTCCGTATAGAAGAAGACTACGTGTAGAAGAAGTCTCTATATAGAAGAGATCTCCGTTTGGAAGAAAACTACGTATAGAAGAGGGCTCTATATAGAAGAAGGCTCTATATAAAAGAAGGCTCTATATAGAAGAAGGCTCCATATAGAAGAAGTCTCTATATAGAAGAAGACTACGTATAGAAGAAGTCTCTGTATAGAAGAGATCTCCGTTTAGAAGAAAACTACGTATGGAAGAGGGCTCTATATAGAAGAAGGCTCCGTATAGAAGAAGGCTCTGTATAGAAGAAGGCTCCGTATAGAAGAAGTCTCCGTATAGAAGAAGACTACGTATAGAAGAAGTCTCTATATAGAAGAGATCTCCGTTTAGAAGAAAACTACGTATGGAAGAGGGCTCTATATAGAAGAAGGCTCCGTATAGAAGAGGGCTCCGTATAGAAGAGGGCTCCGTATAGAAGAAGGCTCTATATAGAAGAAGGCTCCGTATAGAAGAAGATTATAATATAGAGGCTTATAGAGACCTAATTACTAACCTAAATAGGGCTAGTAAATATAAGATATTATTAGCTAGCTTAGCTCCCCGGTCTTCCTACTCTAAGGTAGAGAAAGGAGTCCTAGATAACCCTTCTTAGGATCTTTAGTACGTCCTTATCTCCGGCTAATACCGAACAACTTTAATATTATTGTTATAGGGCTAGTAAAAACAAGCCTTACTTCTAGTCTAACTACCTAAATATTATATAAATCGTTTATAATAACAAATTTCTAAGATAGGTAGATAAAATCGAGGAGAAAATAATAAGACTTAAACTTTAAGAAGGTTAAACTTTAAATAAGCCTAAATAAAAGATCCCTTTAAAATTTTATATTCGGAATATTCGATCTTTAGGAAAATTATAGTACATAAATTTTAAGAGGCGGTATAATTTAAGTGATTATAAAATTTATAGCCCGAAATTTTAGACCCCTAAGAATATTCTATTATCTTAAAGCTTATAGACTTATAATTTTTTACTCCGTCGGTATTAACCGGATATAGGGAATTAGCGTAATAGTTATAAGGTACAAAAGCGCAATACGAATAAGATATGTAAGTATAAGCGCCTATAAGATAAATATAATATATAGCTACTTCTATATTCTTTTATTCTCGGCCTTCTAAAGGAAACTTTCTTAAAATACGGTTACTTTCCCGATCGTAGTCTTTGAATATTATAGTCTTTAAATATTATAGTCTTTTCGCGTTCTATAATTAATAGCTCCTCTTTATATAATAATATTTATATTTATTAAGCCCTTTCCTATTAGCGGACCTAAGTCTTATAAGAGCCCCCTCTATCTATATTTTTCTATATAGGTTTCTCTACTCCCTAAATACCCCTAGATATTAAGGTAACGTACCTAATAGCCGCTATTAAGGCTACTAGGTCAAAAGATACTACTTCGAAAAGAAAATTAATACAGTAAAAACAATATTACTATAAAATAAGTCTAATAAAAAAGGTATACGAATATAATAGGATATATAGCGTAGATATATATATAGGAATTCGTATCCGAGAGACGGGCTAGATATATATATTATCAGCGGATACTTCGGGATTTTAGGCTTTCCTTAGCTTACAATTAGTATATCTTAAACTATAGCTCTAATAAAAGGATAACTAACCTATTAAGAACTCCTACTATCTAGCCCCGATACTAGTAATAGACTAGGATCTATAGTAGGTTAGTAAAGATATACTGTAATAACCTATATAAAGTTATAAGACCGAAGTAGAAGAAAGAACCTTTGTTTTTCCTATCCTCGGTTAGGGATTTTATATAATTATTATCCTAATATTTTAATTTACTTTACGAGAATATAGCTATAATTAGCGGTCTAATAATAAATTCTATATATAGAAGAGACCTCTATATAGAAGAGAACTACGTATAGACGAGGGCTCTGTATAGAAGAAGGCTCTATATAGAAGAGGACTATAATATAGAGGCTTATAGAGACCTAATTACTAACCTAAATAGGGCTAGTAAATACGAGATATTATTAGCTAGCCTAGCTACTTGGTTTATACTCTAAGGTAGAGAAAGGAGTCCTAGAGAACCCTTCTTAAATCTTTAGTACGTCCTTATCTCCGGTTAATACCGAATAACTTTAATATTATTACCCGTCCGATACTTCGTATCCTATAATAAACTATAATTTCCTCCGATAATCTTATAACCCTTCTCTTAAAGGGCGTAGATTTTAACGTCTAAAACCTATAGTCTTTCCTACGATAGACGTATTTAGACGATCGATTTATTCGTAGGA